TCTTTTAAGACTGAAAACAGATGTCATTGCTCTGAGAAACAAGAAACCAGTTGCCCCATTGGAAATCAGGAAACTTGTTTCTTCTTGCTTCTCCACTGCCTTTCACCTTCTTAACTGTGCATCACTCATGCGGGACACTCGTACATAACTTCAAGTCATCAGACCCACAGCATATATACCCAACTTTTTATTTTGGGTTCCATTGCTTTTATTGAAATAAACTGACACACACTTTAAAAAATAAGGGCACTCTTCAGCAAATTCTCCCACAAACTTCTGCTGGTCTAGCCACTGGCTTTCAGCCTGGTGGCACTGCCATGCACAGCCTGGCTAGCTCACCCTGCCACTCTTCTCCAGTCTCAACAATGTGTTGCCCAGTGGCCAGTATGGAGGCAAGTCAGGAAAATTCAGAAAAAAAGGTCAGAAAACAATAACTTCTTGGTTGTCATACAAAAGAGGGGTTGCTTACACTCCCCGGATTTCAGACATTTGGAAGTTAGGAAGAGAAAGAGGTAAGGACTTGCCATAAAAGTGGTTATTTCACTTAAATATTGGTGTTTGGTAGCAAGATGACCATGACCCTTCCTCTTCATAGCACAACTGCTTGCGCTCAGCACCTTTTGAATGGGGTTTTCAAAAAACACCATGATCCGTGATACAAATCTCTTTGGAGGTCTGGGGGATTTATCTTCTTAAACCATTTAAGCCCATTGGAAAATACACTTTGCGCCCCAAGGGACATGAACTGTAAAAAAATTAGATGATTTGCTGTATCAAAGCAAACCCTAGACAAAATAAAACCTAAAAGAAACAATAAGTATTGTGTATGCTGAATGCCAGTACACTCAGCACTTCAAACAAGTGTGAAATGTTGAGACAGAACAGGAACAAACTACTTTGTCCTTGTATTTGTTCCACACGGCCAAAAGCAAAGCCATCAGAAGTATATATAAAAATATCAGTTGATCATACCCACATGGTGTTTCACCAGCCAGGAGTGCAACCTACAACTGGGGACATGCTTTTAAATGATAAACTATAAACTATACTGCATGCCGTAACGTTATTCAGCAAATTCAGTACTGAGCTTCAAAATTACTAGAGCTTTAAAATGATGACTATCCATACATCCATCCAGCTAGCTAGCTGGTTATTCAGATATATAAACTTATTCTCATAGCTCATCAAGGTAGCAGCAAAATGAGTTAACAAAATAATTTCAGTGTTCAGCTCATGGGTTGACTTCATCCCAAGTCCAAGATAAACACAACCTTTGATTGCTATAAACATCTAAAATGCTCTACTTGAGC